TTGAATGAGAGATGTTTTATTTACCTTGTCGACATGAAATATCCAAACAAAATAATAAAACATTCGTTTATTTCGTTTCCATCGCGGGATTGCAAAATCCGACCTATTTTGGCCGCCATGTTGTTTGTTGTTGATCGTTATAAATTATGCTAATGAAACTAGCGCATGGGCAAAACGTATTGTTACTGAGGGGTCATCTCGGGGTTATTCTCAACGAAAGATGTTTTCTATTTTGATCCTCTTTTTTTATAAACGGTAATATCAATAATTCGCAATCGAGAAAATTCGTTTGGGCAGTTTTGACACGTCGATGCTTGCAACAAATAACTGTAAAATTGCGTGTACGATGATCGTGTTTCATTTCCGGTTCGTTTAACTTTCTAATTCAACACCCACCGAGAGTTGGAGCAATTGTTATGAGTTTGGTAAATTTTGTTTATTACCAATGCTTCTTCATTTTTAATGCTTGTTTGTTTGTTTTTTCAAACACGGCAACTTTGTCTGTGCATTTTGTCACAGTGTACAATCGACAATACTAACGATGGGACTGATTACCGCCTGTGATGGTATATGTGTAGAGACTGGCGAATAAGACTGCATGGCGAGAGTGTGAAAGTCAGAGCTGAAACGCCAATGCGGCCGATCGTTGACAATCGTTCTTATGCATTAAATACACCAATGAATCCATGGCCAGAATCACTTGGTTTCAGTGAATTTACATGATATAATTTGTAGTAAACAAGTAAAGCTGTGTAATTATCAAGATGAAAATGAGTGACTTTTATTAAAAAAGACCTATTCATTGTAGGTTTGTTTTTATGTTTTGCTTATGATCTCCCTTAAAATTCCGGCCCTAATTAATATTCATGATTAAATGAATAAATTAGGCCACCTCCATATAAAGACCACCTGTCTATAAAGGACAGTTTGGCTCAGTCCACTGACTGTCCTTTATAGACAGGTTTGACTGTAATAACATTACGATGTTTTCGAGTTTAATAGTAAATTATTAATATTATTAAAATATACAAACATCATTTATATCAACTTGGAAAAGTGAATGACAAAACGACAATCAATCAAAACAAAATGAAATATAAATAAATTAAGATCATACAGAGAATTAAAAAACAATTTTGCTTCTGAAACCTACCTTGTTACCCTGCAAAATATTGAGAAGTGCGAAAATTTAAATAATTCCGTCTCAGTGACCATAACTTGAAAACTGAGACTGACAGACACAATGCAATACCCCTTGCTAATAGATTATGTAACCTTTGTGATCAGAATCAAGTAGAAGATGAGTATCACCTAATGATGTCATGCAAAAGTTGTACCCCCGATAGAAATGTCTTATTTGAAATGGCAAAAAAACAAAATTTGTCACCAAAGACACAATTTAGTTTTCCTAAACAACAGTGGTCTAACACTCCCTGTAGCAAGGTACCTAAAGAAGTGTTTTGAAATAAGACAGCAACCCCAGTGATAATTTTCTTTCCCAGTTAAGTTTTGCATTTTTTCTATCTTTTTATTGTATAATAATCTAGTCTTAATATTTTCTTTCTCTGTTACAGTAATGTATTAGCTTAGTTTTTTGTATGTTTTTATTTTATTTTATTTTATTTATTTAATTTTTTTAACCTTTTATTCTTTCTTAAACATTTGTAGCCATTGCCAATCCCTCCGGGGAATGTGTAAGTGTTAATAAAATTAATATTATTTAATTAATGACCCCGCACATTAGTGATTGGCCTTGGATAGTTGAAGAGATTTTTAAATGGGCTACTCGATAGAAGTATTCGCTGTGACTCAGGACTTTTTATTCAGGTTTATACAACGCTTACATGTTACTGTCAGGAAGGTTTAATGTCTTATTTGTATTTGCACAATGTGAAAGAGGGGTTTATTGTCAAAGGGTACTAGTATATGGGTGGTTGTATGCATAGTGAACTATACAAAATCTGAATTATGTCACCAAACTGTACGTTTTGATTACTCGTATGCAATTGTAAGATTATATTTCTGATATACTCGAAGTGAATCTCAGCACTATGCTTTTTATAATAATTTCCTTGAAACTGTACAAAAAATCACAGACTTTCATTATTTTTTTTTCATAGTTTTTCTAAATTTCAGTTTTTATTGTTCATAATTATTTACAACAATAACACTTTTTTTCTGTTGTGAAACCATTTCCAGTTATTATGAATGTGTACACGACAGCTTTACCCCCACACAATAAGACATGTATGGATATGTGCGAGTATGTTTCATGGATTAATAGGCCACTTCTTTATATCCCACAATGTCTGGTAATTCTAACTAACTACTATTTTGCAAAATTTGCGTAGCCTTGCTTCTACTCCCATATTGTCCTTAACAGTGAAGGTTAATGCAGATATATTGTAAATTACACAGAGGTAACACTACAATACATTTCCCTTTACATTCCCCTGCATTAAACAACAGTCTTTTGTGCTGAGGCAGTTATGGTTCACAACCATCACCAGTTCTCTTGTTTTAAATTGATAGGCGAATCAGCAAAGGCACTGCTGGTTTCTTTGGTGTCGGGGCAAACTGTGATGAAGATCAGAAGAAATGGCAGCAAAGGAGGTGTCGCGGGAGGAGTTTCCGGCGTTTCAAAAAAGATGTCGTGGAGGATATTCAGACAAGGAGGATGGAGCAAGAGCTGGAAGGAATTCCGCAGATTGTTGATCCTTTGGGTAAAGAAAATTGTTTCTGTTTTAAATTAGCCCACTGTTGCTAAGTTGAAACTGGCACACAGTCGTTTAATTGGGGGAGGGGGGTATTTTGTTTTTATTTTTTGACTGTGAAACTGTGAGTGTTGATTGCAAAATAGCAAAATTAAATACCCACAGGAATTACAAAGAACACCCTTCTCAGAATTTATTTTAAGTGTTCCACTTTTAAATATTTCACTTTAGAGAAATTTTGTTTTTTGGGGGAGGAGGGAGATTTTAATGATCAAGGACCTTAAATTAAATAAAATATTTTTACTTTTAATTCATTTATAACAATGCTACTCCAACAACATTGTAGTTTTTATTATAAAATAATGTCTGTATTTTACCGTTTGTATTTCACAGACCAAAATTTATCAGAAATATCCCCAAGTCTGAAACTATTGTCTAATCAAAAAGAAAGTCAAAAAGAAGAAGTGTGATTAACTTCCTAAAAATTAGTGCAATGACAATTTACATATTTATTTCAGGAAATTTTAATTTTAAATATTGGGACAATTAGCCACAGTTGTAGTTCTTTGGATTTCAAGAGTTTGGTAAATGAATATATTATTTTAGAGGTAAAATTTACAAAATTTACGTATCAACAAATGAATTTCTCTGTGTTTCTCATAAAGGTATGAAAATTGTGGTTAATTGTTGCTGCAAAATATTAGCAACAAACTAATGATATCAGCATTTTACTAGTGTAGCTAGCCTTAGTGATAATGAATGTTTTGTTTTGATAACGGGCAGTAATCGTCTCGCAGCACATAATTGAATTTTGTGTAAATAAAATTTTACACATGTGGCAACGTATGGGTATATAAAACACTGTAAAATATTGTAAATTCACTACATTCAATTACCCACCATAGACTCCGGTCAGTCAAAATGACTATTTTGAACTGTAGGCATTAATCAGCGATTCTGCCAGTGACGGAGAGATAGAATCTAGGTCAGGGGAAGCCCCATGACCCCAAGATTCTCTGTCCCTTATGTCGAACCACATGACCGAGGCCATATGGCAGCGACATTAACGGCTGTACAATCGCTCTTCTCTCATCTCCTCCTCCTCATCAGGAATGATTCGGAGCGGCTCTGCCTGGCTCTTTTGCTTTTTCCTGTCTGGGTTTCCAGCTTAGGGTTGTTGCCGCTGGGCGGCATTTGACATTCTTACTGGTAGGATAAGTTTTTCTTGTCTTCTTTTCCCTTGTGTCGTTTTCCCCTTTGTCTGTAATATTTTTTTTTTCACAACAAAGAAATTAAAACCTGGCGCCACTACGTAACCACTTGTTGGTTTCATGGCGGCACCTTTTACTACTGTAATTCGCTGCCCTCATGCATGTCGTCTTCATTTTTGTTTGATCTACGTATTTAGAAATGAATAGATGTAATGACAGCTCCATGACTCGCATGATCTACTCGTTTTTGAGTCAACTGTGCAGTGGTTATATTCAGAATTTACCAGCTTAGAACCTGCATCCGATATGCTTTTTCGCCGTGGCTGTGTGCGAGGCTCGGGGTCCTTGCCTTGAAGGCGTGCTTTTTTCACTGGAGTTCTGAGGCCTCAGATATTTTTTTTTCAGAGCCATCAAAATCGATGAGACTGACCACGTCGCTCGTTTTTTCACAGCAAGGTCGAGCGTCCAGTAAAAATTGGTTAAAGTGAGTTTGGCATGAGTGGAAAGTCGTCACACTCAGCTACTGGTGCTTCGCGTACCGGGACGTCGAGTAGGAGGCCCGACAGTGGAGGTACCGATATCAGAGGGCATCCTCACAGTCTGTGTTTTCAGGCGGTGGTTTACCCGATTTTACCGACTACAGTGAGGCTGTGCCCCTGGAGGTTTTTTCCTCCTATGGGGCCCGTCGCGGGTTCCTTTGTGGATCCTTCCTCACACGGCGCCGGGTTTGCCTCCGAGTTGAGGGCTTTGGTCGAAGGACTGTCGGGGGAAAGGGGTCCCTGGCAGGCTGGGTAGATCAGACGCAGTCAGAGCGAGCTGTCTCCACTGCGGCCCCCGATGGGCAAACAGGAAGAAACACGAAAGCATGTTTGCATTCAAACACGTCTCTTCCGGGGAACCCCCGTTCACAGCCACGGCTCTCCCACTAATTTGGGTCAGGCTGAGGCTCAGGCTAATTGCACCGGGCCTCCTCTGGAGCCTCGGGCACTGAATGCCAACGGGGTGCTGGCAGCCAAGCCTCCGATCTCAAGGCATGGCTTTCAGAGGAGGGCACACATTGACCCCCCTACTTTCAGCCAGCCAGGCTTCGTCGCGCGGTAATGGTACAACGATAATGAATTTATCCTTGTGTCCGGTCTCTGCTGTGGGTTTTTGACTCCCTTCTTACCAACTCACGGGCGTCCCCAGAGGGAACCGACCCTGTCATGAGACGCACAGTCGAACACGCTGTCTCTCACATATTTAAAGTGAAAAGAAGACACAGGTTGCTCGCGTCGGATACAGCCGGTACCTTGGGCGACCCCTCAGAGTCTTCCATCCGTAACGACTCGATGAGCCACGCTTTTGGGTGATAAGGAGTTCCATAGATCTTAGTGATACAATGTAAATACCCCCACCCCTGGCGTGTGTTCGGTGAGTGGCCAGGTCACAACTTAGTGACTACTTCAGGCCTTGGGGAACTCACTTCATGGGAGAAGAGAGCACCCCCCTTGCAACTGCCGAACCCATGGCCACATCCCTGTCATACACAGATTGTGCCGGTGTAGTCCGGTTTGGAGACAGCGGGTGACCGATCCCTGGACCTTTCCAGGTGGTGACATCCTGTCAGTGTCTACCCCGTCAGTGTCAGTGGGGCATACCTGCACATACCGATGCACCCAGTTGCCATCTCCTTCGAATCGCCCAGCTGGGCCAAGTATTCAAATTTCGGGTGCCCCCCGTTCGGGTTATGCACAGCGCCCTACGTGTTCACCAGAGTGATGAAACAGGTAGTGCAGCTGCTTCACCAAATATCGGTACACCTCAATCCGTACCTAGACGACTGGTTACTACACAACCCGGACAAGGGGTTAATAGCCAAACACGTCAGGCTAACATAGGATTTACTTCACCAGTTGGGCTCGTTAGTAAATCAACAAGTCCCATCTCGACCCAATGCGCAGTTGGTGTTCCTGGGCATGGAGTTTTGACACAGAGGTAAGCTTGGTATAGCTATTTCAAGCGTGTTGCTTAGCGCTAAGCAGCCTAGCTGAACGCCTAGTCAGCGTTCCCTCAGTGTCCCTCCGAAAACTAATGCGGATCATCCGAATGATGACCTCGGTTCAAAGGGTCGTTCCCCAGGCCGCACTACGCAGCCGCCCGGTATAACGTTTGTTATAACGCTGAGCTCTCCTATGGGGACTAGATAAACGGGTTTTGATCTGGGACCAAGTGAAGGAAGCCCTGCCCTGGTGGTCGTCACTGACCAACCTCGGACTGGGGGCTCCCTTGGACCCACTCGCCGCAGGTATGACTGCGTATGGTAACAGATGCCTCCTCCCAAGGTTGGGGAGCGCATTTATTGGGCGAACAAGCCCAAGGATATGGCCCCCGCATTAGTTTTCGGACTACCATATCAACCAGCTCGAACTGAAAGCTGTATACTTAGCACAACCACGCTTTCTACCCGTAGTTCAAGACCACAGAGTCCTGCTCCGCATAGGCAACGCAGCGGTGGTCTCCTTCAAGAAAGAGGGGGTGACGCGTTCCCATCGTTGTCAGTCCTAGTGGAGCAAATTCTCCTTTGGTGCCTGGAATACAATGTGGAGCTAACCGCACACCACCTTCCAGGGGTGAGGAACAGTCTGGCAGACGCCCTTTCTGGACGGCTCTGTCTCCAGAACACTGTGGCTGATACTGGGAGGGAAGAAGGGCATTGAAGGGAGATTGATCCATACCATCCCTCTATTGGCCAGGTAGCAGGCTCTTTCGTCCACTTGTTTGATGAAGTAGGTTTGTCCTATTATTAGGAGACTATTTACTGCTTTCCAGACGCCGAGACCCCATACAAGGAAACCGCCCAACTGGGACTTGTTGGCTGTCTTGTCCGCTCTAAGCAGACCGCCCTTTGAGCCTCTCTGATCAGCACCACTAAAATTTTTGACGTGGAAAATAGTCTTCCTACTGGCCCTCGCCCCAGGTAGGCGTCGGCCAGAGCTGGGGACATTGTCCTTCTCGGATGATGTACTGCCGTTATGGACAATCAAGTTGTGCTAAAGACACGAATCTGGTTTCTAGCCTAGAACCATATCCCAGGACACGATCCTCACCCGATCGTCATCCCCCGGCTGTCAAATTTTGTCTGCCCGGAGGGTTAGAAGGAATTGCCTTTCTGCCCGGTTCGAGCACAGAGTTGCTTCCAAACTGTACTGAGGATTCATTCTGTGTGATTGCCAACTCACTAGTGCTAGCGTCAGGTGTCCCCCCTCGAGCATACATGGAGGGCAGGCTTCTGGAGAACACAGAACATCTTTATCAACTACCACCTAACAGACACCGAATCCAATGAAAAAGGTCTCTTTAGGTTGGGTCCCGTCGTAGCGGGTCAGTCTTGGTTTGCTGACCCAGCCCGAACAACCACAAGGGTCCCTGCGCATAGGCAATAAGTCAGTCTCTGCATTTTTTTGCGGACAGATTTCTCTACCATCAGCACTCCCTGGAAGCTCCCAGGGCCCGCCTTTCGGCCTATGCCCTCATGCAGAACTGTTTCGGTCTTTACTTCGAAAGCTTACTACCCCCAGAATTGGATTGGGGTCTAGCTTTCTCGGGCACACCGAATCCTGTCACCTGTCACACTACCCTTTTTGGGTCTTAACTAAGGTGTTGAGTTTATTGTATTTATTTCATCCCGGACTAGGAAAAGACTTTCATCATTTTCTGTTTGCTTGGAAAACCCGCCACCTATCGGCGTTTGACTCTGCCTACAGTTCAAAATAGTCATTTTGACTGACCGGAGTCTATGGTGGGTAATTGAACATATGAATTTAGGCAGAGGGTTCTCCGAACCCACCTATTCACATAGTTCATACCCACAATAGACCCAACCACACCACTCTTTCCGTAGCGTTGGTCTAAGTCCTTGAGGCGGAGAGAAAGGAACCAGAGTGATTGTACAGCCGTTAATGGCGCTGCCATATGGCCTCGGTCACGTGGTTCGTGGCGTAAGGGAAAGAGAATCTTGGAGTCATGGGGCTTCCCCTGACCTAGATTCTATCTCTCCGTGACCGGCAGAATTGCTGATTAATGCCTACAGTTCTAAATAGTCATTTTGACTGACCGGATCGAGAACCCTCGCCTAAGTTTGTGTGCCCCTTTATATTGTCTGAGAATGAATAAATGTGCATCTACTTATTCTGAATCATATCGTTCAGTTTTTACAAAGGAAATTACGCTGCTTTTAATTTCCAGTCCATATTCTGCTGTACCTTCTTATCTACTTCCCTTGATATTGGTGATATGACTTGATCCCCAGCTAGCTACTATGAAATGAAATCGCTTATTATATGTGGTCTGATTTTTTGTTATTTATAAGCTCGGGGACGTGCTTTTAGATTCCCGCCTGGTAGTGACGAAGTTGATGCACCGAGGCAGTTGCGGCCGACGCTTAGTACTGCTACAGCTACGAGTAGTATTGTCAGGAGGCAGGTGACACGGGCACAACAACGTGGTAAGAGGGAGTCTGTAGCCAAGCTAGGATGGAAAACCCTGGGAACTGTGGTCGGCAAGATGACGGTAAGATACATGTTCAGATTTATTACAAAGTTTCTATTGTTCTAACCTAGAATCTATGTGGTATTGCACTCAATATGTACCACTGATGCCTAGGTACGATGCTAGTAGTATCCTATCACTCATTTAGATTTATGCATACATCACACACTATGGATGTCATAAGCATCTGTAGCATTTCACTCGCTTCATACCTAGGTACATTGCTAGTAATATCTCATTATCTATTCAGATTTATGCAAACATCACCCACTATGGAATGTACGTAAAACGTCTGTGTAGCATTCCACTCGCTATAAGCCTAGGTACATTGCTAGTAATATCTCATTATCTTTTCAAATTTATGCAAGCATCTAAATAGCATTCCACTCACTACATGTCTAGGTATAATGCTAGTAATATCTTATCAGGTTTATGCAGATGTCACATATATGCTATAATATATCACAGGCATCTATTCAGCATTCTACTCGCTGTATGCCCATGTACATTGCTGGTAATGTAAACTTGACACACTATAGAAATTTTATTATTTTAACATATTTTGTGATATTGTGATAAAAAAAAAACTTTATTACATGTAACATGTAAACCAAAAAAGAAATGTCAAATTTTCTTTACGGTGATAATAAAGATTATTATTATATATTATTATTATTATTATTATTATTATTATTATTATAGGATGTCATAAGCATCTTGAGAAATGAAATAATGTATATTCATTGGTCAATTTTATTTCACACTTTCAAAATAATTTATGTAATTTTTGGAAGGAAAATTTTACAAAACATCAGTTTTGCTATTCACAGTTTATAATGTGTTTCATTCAGAGCTTATGATAACTGAAGTCAGATAATTTATGTTTAT